ATATTATAATTACGCTAAAAATGTCTGATAAATATAACAGACAAATTTTCGTGAAAAAAACGCTTAAAAAAAAAAAAAGAAATATATCGAAATCGCCAATGCATTAGTCGTGTCGAATGTTCACAGAAATGTCAAGTTATAGCTATAAAATGTGTTAATATTTTTAAAACGCAACGATAGATGTAAAAAAAAACGGATGAATGAAGAAAAACGATTGAGTGAAGAAAAAAACGATTAATTGAATTAAATGTAAAAACGAAAAGGCTGACATTTTTATACTAATGACTAAAGCAAATAAAAAACGAAGCAAGATTTAGGTGTCATCCGCCAAAAAAGGTATCGAACCGGTTAGACCAAGAAAATAATATTTATGTACTATATAATCATGGGAAATTAAGAATTTGGTCTGTGCTAAGAAATGCTTTATCTTCTTGGTTTAGGTCTTCGGACTCTTTCAACGCTTAGTGCGATGCCAGTACAACTGTTAATAAAAATAAATAATTAATGATATTTTTCATGTTAAAAAATCAATGATAATAAAAGGAACTTAGTGCTTCGGTTGAATCTGAAATATTTCGACCGGAAGAAATTATTTCATGTTGACGAAAAATATTTATACTTTAAAAAATGCAAAATTACTATATGTTTGAAGGTTGAACTGAAATTATTTTCGTTCCGGAAAAATTATTTCTTCTTGGCGAAATATTCAGATTTTGAAAATGTTTTAGTCCGAAACTATAGAATATAAAACTTACCAGACAGCACCCTCACTTACCGCAGCATGATACGCGGTCTGTGTGGCGAAATCGGCAAATGCGCACGCCTGATTGAAATAATTTAAAAGTGTTAATTTTATTTTCCAAATAAATATTTATGAAATTCAAGTAATATTCACTTTAGAAGGTATCATATCGATATTTTCAACGGCACCAAAGGCATCTTCGAGGCATTTCTTTAATGTTTCCTTGTCAATCCCATCCGTAATAGATCCGATAAAAGCTCGACAACTTTTGGAAACTAATTTACATTAAATCGTGATCAAAGGGTCCCGCAGTAATATATATTTTTAATACATGAAAAAAAACAACAAAGAACCTTGATCAAATAGTGATATAAACCTTGTTTTCCACGGGTTTTAGGCGCTGTAACCTTATTATTTAAGTCAAAAGACGAAGATGTTCCTAAGTGACCAAAATTTTCGCTTTGTTTACGTGATGATCCTGATGTAAATGGACTTTTCTGTGTTAAATCCTGAAGAAGTTCGTTTTGAGACTGAACAATTTTTTGATATTTGTCTACGATAGCTTCTTTTTGTTCAAGTTGTGCTCTAAGCGCTTCGCAGTTTCGACAGGGCTTTTCATTCGAACCCATATTTTAAATTTGTATCGTATCGTTGCGACGGAAAATTTTTTTAGGAAAAAATCGAGGAGACCAACTGAAAGAGGTGAATAGAGGCTTGCAGATTTTTGGTGCTATTTAATGAAGCTTATATAAGTGCATGAGTAAGGTCAGGTGACAAAATTTGGTGACTTCAATAAATAACGTGAATAGTTGATTCGTTTGTAATATGCACGTCAATATCAGTAATGCAATCAACGATCGGGAAAATGGTCTGTGATTGTTTATGATCCGGCAATTTGCACAAGGACGCCACGGAATTTCATTACAAACCCCGAATCATTTTGAAAAATAGTACAAATAAAGACGTGAACGTCATAAAGCAATTATTTGCAGCTATTTACAGAATCTAAAGATGTCAATGCAACCGATCAACACTTAAGATCGATTGGCCCTTTATAGAATCATTGAAAGATATATGTGGTCGAAAAACCAATTATACTGCGGTTACTATCGTTCAGATCGGTACGGTAGGAATGGTGGGGTGATAGTGACTGTATCACATAAGGACTCTAATTAGTTAGTGTAAGGGTTAACCCTCACGCGAGTCTGAAATTAGTATAATATCTCAACGTGAATCTGGATTTGCCTTTTACGTATTATCGTTATTTATTATTTTCAAATATTTTTTTTTGTAGCACCATAGAAACAAGAAATGTATATATCCCATCATTACATAATATTGTGTCCTAAAATTTTAGCAATTATTTTTTAAGTGTTAACGTAATCAATCATTCATTCATTAATTTAGGATTTTTTTTTTTTTTGATAAGCTTTTCGTGAATTTTTTTTTAATTTGAATTTTTATTTGAATTTTTAATTATTAAAACAAAAGAACGTATGAACTTCAACTTCGTGTTAAAAGAACTATCATGATTGGCTTATTTTATGAAGCTTCTAGTTGCACAATTGTCACACTATGGTTCCATATCGATCGAATTTGAATTTCTTTGCTTATTATGGCAACTGCCGGTATCAATATCACAATCCGTTTTTATACTTGAACGAAAGTTGAAGTTGATTGATATAAAGCATTAATTAGAGTTAAAAGAAGCTTTAAAAGGTTCTTGGTTTTCTCTACTCCCTTTGACTCTTAAAAAGATGCAACGATCATTGCTTCCATTCATATTAGTTCCTTTGACTTTATTATGCTGGCTAAGAGCTTATATTCTATATCACGAGGCAGTTGCTAGTCTTTATGGTGTCCAAATAACGAGCTCTTCAAAGAATGTGTCGGTTGATTTACCAAAGTTTGATAATCTTACCATTGGTGACCGACGAGAAAATATCTTCTATTTTATGCAGGTGTTTATTGTTGTTCTATGGTTTAATATTTTCGCTTTCTTTCACTAAAGTTATTTTGATTTAGGTATCCGATTTACACATATCCAAATATTATAAACCTGGTGGTGCTTCTCACTTTTTATACTTTCTTTCCACCGCCCTTCCTGTTATTTCGCCTTCTTTTGTGCTTGTAACTGGAGATTTAACTGATGGGAAAGAACAATACTATGGTAGATCGGGTCAGAACGTCGATGAATGGGCAACCTATCAAACTGCATTACAAGTATGGTTTTTATATCAATTATCAATAATCAATAATCATATATCTTTATATTTATCTTTAGATCTCTTTTTTAACCTTTAATTTATAGGAATCTGGGGTTCTCGATCGCCCGAACTTTTGGTACGATATGCGTGGAAATCATGACTGTTTTAATGTGCGTTCTTGGGATAGTGAGCAAAACTTGTACAAACAATATAGTGTGGTAAAAAAAAGAGGATTTGATTTTATGGTAGAAAAGACTTTTGGTCGATATAGATTCATTGGAATTGATGCATGGTGAGTAATTTTTTCATTTTA